TTGGTGAAAATTTCGGTAGTTAATCGTGTGGTTTGCGCATAAATTTGATGATCTCAATTGTGATACCCTACCCTTAAGGGTAGAGTCTATGTTGATCGTTTTCGTTATGAAATGATGAACTAAATTTTTTTGTATTACCTGTTCTTATTGACCAATAAAAAATAGTCACATTTATCTTGAATATCTAATAAAAATAGAATTCACATGATTAACTACCGATATTTTTCACCAAACCGACATTTCATCCAATATCACATTTCATCTAATATCACATATTTATTAAGTGTCAAAGTAAAGTCTATGCAGAACTTTGTTGCAACAAAGGAATTTTTATACTGTATATCAAAAAAATCAAAATGTCAGAAAGTTTACAAAAAAAAAGAAGAAAAAATTGATGCATTTTTACAAGTAATAATATTCTTTATGGAATTCAGATTGAAATGGCTAGTGCCTCAGATGACTTAATCGACTGTTTTATAAAAACTCTGATGATAAAGAAAAAAGCCAATATGGTTACTGGGTAACAATGGTAAATATTTTTGATAATCGTATTAAATTGATTATGTATTTTTTAGATTTTTGAGAGGATGATTTTTTATGCAAGGAAATATATATATATAGTGTTACGGCTATATATATACATTCTTTTTTGGCGAATTGGAGGTTTTATGCTCGCAACAAGACTTTGGGAGAGATTGATAGACTGTGCAGTTATTTCTTTTGGTATCTAGAATCTGTGCTGATATCGTTGAATTTATCGATTAAGGGAGAAGATTATGCATTTTGGGTGGGTGTTGGGGGGGAGGATTTTTTTATTGTTGCTTTTTATAGATAAAAGACTTAAACTCTTAAAAATATTAATAACATTGCTTTTTCTAGACAAAAGCCTTAAACTCTTAAAATAATAACTATTACACAAAACGGTTTCTTAGCAATGGTACGACAACACGATTTTACAAAGAACCTAACCATCAAACAATATATCATTTAATGGGGGAAAAGGGGGAGAGTTTTACAAGCAATAATTTACTTAGGGGCGAATAATTATACGCAAGAATTCAAGTTGAATTTGCTTGGAGAAGAATTGTACACAATTTTAATTCTATTCTTTATTTTTAGCTCGTAGGTCGTTCTTTTACTTTAATATTTCTTTGGCTATTAATAAAACATCTATAATGAACACCCTAACGTTTATGGACAAAACTGATATAAGAAGACAAATCGAAAACTTGATGGAAATATACTGAAGAATTATGGGAAAATGCTAAAAATGATGAGATGTTGTATTTTGACGAAAAAAGCGCAGAGAATGTTGTAGTTTCGTGCTGTATACCAAAAAGGGAAGCCTGTTATTTTTATCAGCACGTCAAGAGAATATACAGTACTGTAGATTTTTCAGCAAATTCCGAGTGTCAATGGTGTGGTTGTTTCTGCAGCATAATAGCATTGTTGATTTACCGGTTTAGGCGATCTGCAGCATTGTTGATAATCGTGATGGGACTTTGATGTCTGCGTCTATTAGTATTAATGCCGGCACATCACTTGTTAATTCTGGCTAAGGGACTTTAGTGCTAGCCTATGTCGAGATTGACTTATCCCTGCGGACACGGTATAGGACCAGTTTGGAAAATTAGCAACGTGATAGATATTCATCTGGCGTTAGCGATATTCATGACTCGTCTCCTGCCGTTTATTCCCAAAAAACCATAATCAGAGAAGTTTGTTCGCCGGCGGTACCAATAGTAAGCAACCTAACGATCTCGACAGTCTAATAAAGAATATATTTCCCTAGATCTACTATTTCCATCCTAAATCCCACATCATACAATTTTGAAAGACTCGTCGCATGGCGCTCTTCACTATGAGTTATGAGGCATTGATCACTAGGTAGAATGAAGATATGTGATGCAATAACACCTGAATGATGACTGATGTAATCGAATGAAATGGTATATGTCGTGAAGACCGCTGAATAAATTCACTATAGCATTAAGATTGTTGGTTACTTCAGCTGTTGATGAATGATATTTTGAATTTTTTGATTAACTTGTATCATGATATTGTTCGTAGCTGAATACTGGTTGCACTCAACCAAAGACTAGTTTTTACATCATGTTTCCGGTTTGTTTTTTTTGATTTTTTTTTGATTTTTAATTAAACTAATAAACGCGTCCAGATCCAATACCACACATACCCAAAACACTAATAGAACAGAGAAAAATCGAAAAATAAAGGAAAGAGAATAGTTGGATTATAATAAAAGGAGAAAATTCATCACCATATGAAAAGAGAAAAATGTTAGTGTAGAAAAAGAATGACAAAAAAATAACTATTTTCTTTTTTTAAGTCTCACAAATTCAACTACCAATAAAAGTGCCACAATTTCGATACCAAGGCCTTTTGATTCAAGTCAATCAAGGTATCGAATATGCTTTAACCTATTGTATTTGAAAAACAAGAAATAAAACTGTAGGCACACTTCTATTAATAAAGTTATAGTAACACTTCATCAAACTCAAATTCAAATTATCTTAATATTAGATAATTCAAAACCGGCCTTTAACCAACCAACAACCATCCATCCCAAACTCAACTCCAATCCCGGATCCTCCAAATAATCTTAGCCTCGTTTATACCTAATCTGAGGAGAATTTTAATTTATACAATTAGAATTCTCCCCAGAAAAAAGCAAAAAAAACAAAAAAATTAATAATTATATTAAAACAAAAGTAAATACATAATACTTTCTTATCATATATTATATAGATATATATATATATTATCCACAATTTACCTTGAATCTCACCTAATTTTTACCCATTTATCTAAGCTAAGATAATTTCAATTCGAGTTTGATAGCGTTATTACAATTTTACTAATAAAAGTATATCTACAATTTTACTTGTTTTTCAGAGTATATTAAAAATCAATTATTATATTGATTTTTAACACAATAGGTTAATAAATAACATATCCAATCCGAGAAAGACAAGGTCAGCAAGGTTTCAAAGCATCAAAAAACTTTGCTAATTAATGGTAGTGTCTTTAACAAGAACTCAATAAAAAAGAAAAATTGCTATTTTAGTTTGCTTTCCCCATCATTAATTGAAAAGAGTGTGAATTATGTAACGAAATCTATGATATCCGTTACATAAGCTTGTAGTAATATAGGTAATAATAGAGGTAATAGTGGAAAAAGAAGGAAAAAAAGATGGTGATGGTGGAGATAGGGACGGCGGAGATGAAGATGACGGAGATGAGGATGACGGAGATGAGGATGATGGAGATAAGGATGGTGAAGGTGGGAATGGTGGAGATAAGGATGATGATGATGGAAATGATGAAGGTGATGATTGTGAAGGTAATGATGGTGGCGATGATGATGATGGCGATGATGATGGTGGTGGTGATGATGATGATGACGACAAAGAAGATGTTGGTGATGGTGATGAGGATCTTCTTTTTGTTGGTGGTGGTAAGGATGAGGACGGTGATAATTTTCTTTTTCTATTATTATTCGCGGAATTTGCGCGAATTTCTAACACAATATCAGAGAAACCAATTGTTGGCAATGTTGTCAATTCCCAAATTGATTTCTCTTTGGCTTGCGATGCAGTTAGCATAGGAAACTCGCATCGCAATTTTTTATAGGCACGATTCGATTGTCTTTGTGCTAGCGAAAGAAAGCCCGGATGCAATTCACCAACTTCAAATTTTCTTTTTTTTATTTGTGATGACGACGAAGACGACGAAGATGACGAAGATAATGAAGATGACGAAGATAACGAAGATGATGAAGATGACGAAGATGATGAAGATAACAAAGATGAAGATAACAAAGATGAAGATGATGACGAAGATGGTGAAGATGATGAAGATAAAGATGATGACGAAGATGGTGAAGATGATGATGGAATGGTGGTATCATTAGGAGTAGGCGAAGGAGAAGGAGTATGATGATGATGATGATTATGATTATGATTATGATTATTATTATTATTATTATTATTATTATTTGAAATGCTGCAGTGTAATCCTGCTTAAATTGTTAACTAATCTAAGATACAAGG